TGTCGAGGTGTCATTGATGAAGATACTGAGCCCCAAGCTGCTCCTGATGGGGAAACCCTGCGCCTCGCATGGCTGCCCCCCCCCCCCACCATCTGTGTGTGAATGTGTTTGTGAATACGTAAATTAGAAGCAAACCTTCATTTGGTGAGGACAAAAACAACAGAGGATGAATTCCATCTCTACTAAAGAAAGGCAATAGAAAGGCCAATATAAATGGCAATAGTTAATGTGAAGCTATCTTTGGCTCTTTTCTGCTGTAATAAATGTACATTTCCTCTCTTTGGGACGAATAAAGGTATTCTGATTCTGATACATAGAAAATAACAGGTGTAGAGACACAGAATTACAATATTATATAAATGAGGCGCAAACATGTATTTGGTATGTGGAACAACATTTAGTTATTTTGCAGAAGAAAAAGCATGTTTGCAGTGTGGATGTAGCCAGGACAATAGATTACATTAAGAAGTATTATGGTTGCTTCATTTGTACTGTGCTAATCCCAATGAGTGGCTGCAGCTAAATATTAAGTTAACAACTAAAAGCATAGCTGAAGTCATTATAAAAGCATCATTATTAAAGACTAACATTTAAATATGGGCTGAACTAGTACCCTTTGAAGAATGGGGGAGAAGCATCAAGGGCACTATCTACATAACAATTATTTACTTTGTGTCAAATGGCAGCATCTTTGCATATTTTACAAGCCTTTCATCCACTTGCCATACCTCTACGCCTTGTTTTTTTTTAAAGACCAAGCAGGTAGATGTGTTCACTGGGTGTCCCTTTACATGGAATGATTAGATCACAGTTTCAAAGAGTATCAGCTTGGACAGGAAATCGCTGATACCCATATTCAACAGATCAATCATCTCTTCATACCTTCAACATCATCACTGTATGTTTACAGCTGATCTACTCTAACCACAGCTGTTCTTCTTGCCTCATGCTTTTTATATGAATCACAGGCTGCAGCTTTACTTTGCATATTGCTCAGTTCGCCCACACGGATTCAAAGTAAGTCCACTGAACCCTGATGAGCTGTAACGCATTAATGCAGTAAAGTGAAGCAATAATTCACATAATGTGTCACTGGGTGTTTCAGATGCAACAATAAGCTACTTTTACACACATTAAGGACCAATTCCTTCCTCAAATAGGCTTACACCTGTCGGAATTGGTGCAACTATCCGGCAAAAATTCCCTTATAACGAGACGACAACCACCCCTTATTTTATGAGGGTAAATATCATTAGCAGTCTTAATAGGACCATTTAATAACTGTCATAAAGATATTAGGAGATTGCAAATAGGGTGAACCACGACGAGTATACCACACCACTATCACTGCATGGACACAGCAGAAATACTTTAAAAGGTACCACGAAAATACACTCACTACTAAGAAAATACATTTTTCTGTGGGTTTTATCTAAGAAACGGTCGTGTCAAGATAGTGTGCCTCACCTGAATCGTGTTCAAATTCTTCGAAGAGAAAGACACTGAGCTCAAAATAATCCAGGTGGACTTTAGCCGCAGGAACACACTCTCAAACACACTCAGTGAACGCCTCACAGCACTGACAGCGGGACTGTGGCTCCGCTCGTCCGCCGTCACAGGTGGCGGCCCGCCCTCTCGTGACGCTCACTTTTGTCCCTTCTTTTTTCTCAACGAACCTCTGAATTAAGTATTCCGTTCCTTTTTTGTTGTTATTTGATAATTCCTGGTTCGTTGTACCACTTCTATGCAGTGTGTAACACGAGCTGCAGACAGCGTGATGACAGTTGTGAGGCAAAGTGTAAAAGGTGCACCGATGCAACCTATCCATTCAATGCTCCAGGGTGACGTCACACTGACCCCTAGCGCGCGCAGAGGGAAGTGCACCCAGCCAGGTGTGCTGATTATAGTCATCTGTAGAGTAGGCCTACTCTGCTGGTTACATTTAAACAGAGGTGGGAGAAATACTTGAGTAAAAGTACCAGAGTGTAGGAATACTCTGTTACAAGTAAAAGTCATGCATTTAAAATGTTACTAAAATAAAAGTACAAAAGTATTAGCATCAAAATATACTTAAAGTACCAAAAGTAAAAGTACTTATGCAGATTGGTCAATTTTAGAATAATACATATTATATGTTTTGATTATAATTATTGATGCATTAAAGTGTTTATCAAAGCTGGTAAAGGTGCAGCTAGTTTGAATGACTTTGTATACTGCAGGGTAGCTAGATAGTGAATAGTACTCCAATGTTAATTATATTTCACATCATTAATCCAAATGTTTAAAGTAACTACAAGTACAAAATAAATGTACAGTAGTCAAGTAAAAGTACACGATTTACCTCTGAATTGTAGTAGAAAATGGAAATACTCAAGTACATGTATCTCAGAATTGTACTTAAGTACTTGAGTAAATGTATTTAGTTACTTCCTACCTCTGAATTTAACCAATGTGCCTTTGATACATTTGTTAAATATTCTTTATGGAAATATTCAATAACTACCAGTAAGTCATAGTTATACAGTAAAACACAAGCAAAATAACTTCACACATTTACTGGTTATACTGCAAGACTTATTTGGAGAAATATGCTTTTAATAATTTTTATGTTTTTTTCTTTTTGGAAATACCAACCACTTTGGACAGTAATTGTCCACAGCTAGTTAGACACCACTAAGTTTAGAGAAATAGGCTTTTGCCATTTGTTGGTGATTTTCTTCCTCTGGTACGCTGGCCATTGGGGCAGCTACATCACTCTGAGTTGGTATAGAAACCAAAAGCAGAGCTGTTTAAAAAATATGTTGTATAACGATATAAAATGATAAATGACAAAATGTTTACAGAAAACAATGGATGTTTGAACCCTGAAGTCCATGTAGCTTTAGGTTGAGTTTTTTTCTTTATTAAAACACTTTTGTGTCAGATTCACGTAACACTGTTTCCCTGCCTGACACTTCCTCACATCCTGGAAATTATATTTTGCATTTTGATTTCAGGTATAATTCTTGGTCTAGCAGATCTCATATCCCTGTAAATGTGTCTGTTATGTACGCAGGGGCTCAACACTTAATGAAGTTGCCTGTGAGGAAAACCCTCTCCATCCCTCTCCCCTGCTCCTATCCCCAGAGGAACACAAATCCAATGAATTATCAGGCCCAGAGGAGATGCATAGTCATTATACTGCATAAAGTTACAGTCACAACCTAGATCAGATATTTATCTGTGTGCAGACCCCCTGCAGGTCTTCACAATGCTCATAAAACCAAAAAGGGCTTGTGTGCTGCAGAGATTATTAAGAGCTCTGATTATGAAGAGAGAGAAAAGACCAGCTATCTGTCATCCCATATACGACTGTGTTCTCTGATTTATACAGAACTTTGAATCCATTATAAATGTATTTATTAATTATAAATATAGTTAGTCATATTCAGTGGGCAGAGTTGATGTTGAAGTCAGCCTTTTGTCTCCATGTCTCATTGCAATTCAGCAGGAAATACACACAGTAAAGGGCCAAAACATTTAGCTGCATTAACCCCATAAAACTGAGACACAACAGATTAACGATAGAGCTTATTGAGGAAGGAGTGTCCCTGTTGCAGGTTACCATGGCAACAGGGGTACCTGAAGGACTGGTGGTTTGTGCATGTATGACCATACAGTAAGTTATGGATTAGTTACATTACAAGGTGCAGAATTTATGGTTTTCTCCCTATATGTGCTTGCTAAAAATAACAATAAAAATGGATTGAAGTGTTTCACTCTGTCTGCCTCTCTGTAACAGAGATCTAAGAGACAGCAAACACAGCGTTCAGACATAACAGATTATAAGATAGTGAATGTGGAAAATGTTGTCTGTTGGTGCAGCACTTTGGTCAGGGATATATCAACAACCTGCCATGACATTTAAACAGACCTTCATGGTCCCCAGAGGAGGAATACTGCTGATTTTGGTCTGTGCTAATTATAAAAATGTAAGCATACTAACAAGGTTTACTAGGATGTAAGGAATGGTAATCCTAGCTACTAATCATCTGCATGTTTAGGTATAATAGTAAACATATTAGCAGCACTTGTGTGTCACTAGGGAAATGTTTAGCCTTTATTCAAATGTTTTGTAAATCATTTACGCTATGGCAAAAATGCCAACATTTTGTGAGAAGTGATAGGTTTTTCCCCCCTGAGTTTTGGAAGTTTAACCTGAGCTTCTAAAATAGGTATAAAACAAATGGTGCAGCTCAAATACACTGAGATCCTTAAGGAAAAATCTTTGTCCCAGGGCCATTACAATATAGAACCATGTATTCTAATGCATGGTGCAAATGCATGCTATTACACTTGATTCCTCTGGCATTTCTGCTGTATTATGGAGCAATGTTTGCAATGTTTGCTGCAATGCATCAAAATCAATGTTGTTGCTAATCATAGAATTATCCCAGACTGTGATAAGGATTAGTTTTTCACAGTCCGAGTCAACTCGTACTGTATCATTTACAAAACAAAATGTTTAATAATTAATAGTTACATTAGACACCATTTCAGCTTTTTACCAATACTACTACTTAACATATATATTGATTTTGAATATTTGAGCATATTCATCCAAGCGATTTGGCCCCCGATCACTTATTTGTTTTCTAACATATGTATTATAACCTTATAGCAGATGACATTTTAACTTTGTATTTGTCTTTGAGACCAAATAAAGTATCCATGTGATTGGAAAATATTTCTAATCGCATATTTTTGAATCTGCTACTACACCTCTGACTACTTTCCATATTTGGATCTGATTTGTATTCATACTCTGGAAAGTTAAAGTGTCACCTTCTGTCCAGCAGAGGGCAGCAAAGATTGTGTATTAAAAAATGACACATGGAGACCAATACATTTCCATTCAATTTTATTAACAATGATGAGAAAAGTGGATAAAGTGTGCATGTGTGGTTAAAAAAGAAGCATTTTAGTATAAAGTATTTTATTGGAAATATTGGAAATACTACAGTACATTTGTGGTTATAATTCTGACAAAAGGGCTAAAAGAAAAAGTAACAAAAATAAATACAATCTGCATTGACAGAGATATGTGGTAAGTTTCAGGAACTCATCCGATATTGTAAAAGTTGCATCTTTATTTTTGATTCAGCTGAATAAATCATCATTACAACAAATCGTACAACTGATTATAACAAAAATTCATGGTGTCTGGTTTTACGCTTGCTTTTTTTTTACAATATTGTCATGAAATGGCTGTAATAAAATATAAAATTCATATGGATGGAAATCTCCTTCCAGATCAAAGGGCATCTTAAGAGTTGGAAACTTAGATAAGAATATAATTCCTAAAGTAACTTCTCACTAGTGTTTATGACAGAAATACATGTATACACAGTATCTATGGCATCTCAACCATGTGCCATTGCAGGAGAGCAGACTGGCTTTGTGGGTATCATAGACCACAGAATGAACATTAATAGATCAATCAAAAGTTTTTCCCACCAATCATATAATTATTTATTTTTTTAAATCAAGAACAGTGGTGGTCACGATTGATTTTACCCCAGTAGTGCAGGTAGCAGAGGCACAGGCACTCAACACAGATGACGAGAAACAAGCCCCACAGAGATTGTCATGGTAACAGAGCATCATCATATTCCACTCATTCACCTCATGCAACGTAGAGCCTCAAGTGTTAGAAAATAACCAGTAGCCCAGAAAAACAAGTTTTAAAAGACTATCGAAAAGTGTACAAATTACTGTTGCGCAATAACAAATACTGCTTGATCCATTTACATCCCAACATTTGAGTTTCTGTCAAGTAGGAAATAGTTTCAGACACTTATTACAAAAAAGTGGATTAAAGGAAAGCAATGCCAAAAGTGTCTTAAGTACACGGTACACAGTGTGGCCTGGAAAAGTACGAGAGGGAGAATTCCTCTGTTGTAGATACAGAAAAAAAGTGCCAGAAAGAGTTCATAGATAATCCTTCATATTGTTTGGTCTGTCCTTGTCTCTTCATTTCAGCAGTGTCCTTCTCTGTCCCAGTCTGTTAAAGCGTGTGTGTGTGTGTGTGTGTGTGTGTGTGTGTGTGTGTGTGTGTGTATTTGAGTGTGTGTGTGTGTGTGTGTGTACAGCTCTGGCAGACTGCAATGTGCAGGGTTTTTTATGTTTTAAGCCAGCGTTCTTTGTCTTGGCTTAATTCTGGGGTAGAGCTGTTAAGAGAAAACGACAAGAAATGTTAGCAGTGCACATTTGTACATAAAAAAAAACACAATTTCTCATCATTGCAGTTTCAGTGACTTTCGACTCACCCCGAGGAGGTTGCGGGGAATGTAACCCTCGGTGTCTCCCATGCGGGCCCACCACCATTCGATCTCATCGTCGTCTTCTCTGCGGACGATGGTCATGCAGTCTCCCTCGCGGAACACCAGTTCATCAGGGTTTTCACCATTGTATTCCCACAGACCGTAGATCACTCCCCTGTTCATGATGCCCATCTTCTCTTGCACACCTGAGGGTAGACAGATTTGGAAAAACACAAAGATTAAAGCACACAAAAGATATGAAGTGTAAGACATCATTTGTTTTGCCTGAAACATACACAGGACACAATAACAATTATAACAATGCATTCATAACGTATAGCAAAAAACTGACCATAGAGGAACTGAGAGCACTGGGTGTAGCCCTCCTCCATCTCTTCACATTTATCAGCTGCTGTTTGCATGTCGCTGTAAGTCATAGCGAACACGGCTGCACCGGACTCCACCAGGAACTTGCACACTTGCACATTGTTGCAGGATGCAGCACAGTGAAGAGGGGTCCTAGAGGGAGGAAGGAGTTGAGAGTTGAGTAAATAAATGTAAACAATTTGAAAACTCATTGTGACAGTTCAGACTTGTCTCAGGTAATCAGCCATGTCAGCAGTGAACGTACCAGCCGTCACTGTCAGCAGCATTGACATTGACACCAAACTGAACCAGAAACTTGACAATCTCTGTATGTCCAGCACAGACAGCATTGTGTAGAGCAGTGATGCCTTCATCGTTAGGCAGACTGGGATCCTCCACCTGAGATTGAAACATTTAAATAGGGGGTAGTGTGAGCCACAGAAAATAGCAAACAAAAATGTCTCTTTTGGATATTGTTTATCTAACACTCTGACACAATGGTAGCTGACTAACACAGCAGAAAACTAAGCAAAAAGAACGCAAAAGTAAATGTCTTACTTCATAGATGATCCTCTGGACCAGGTCGAACTCTCCCTCCAGAGAAGAGTCCAGCAGCAGAGCCAGAGGGTTGAACTTCACTCTCATGCTGTGATCGATGCGTTCAGAGCAAAGCTTGCGCAAGTTGGTCCTCTTTCCCTGGAGACACAATCATAACCGTGTAGCACGTCAGTGATCATAAAAAGCCATTACAACACAAAGAACGGAAAATGTAAAATCAGAGTGTCCTCCTGATCGTCCACTCTGTTGTGTTCAATGTGGACTGAGAGAAGAGGAGGGACTTGTTTTCCAGCTCTAAGAGCATTGCTTATCCCGTTTACCCAGAAACACATTGATTTTTCTAAAACCATGATTACACAAACAATTGGTTCTCAAATGGAGGCGACAGAAGGAGAAAACTAGGGGGGGGGGGAATAATGAATACTTATTTCTAATTGGTTTACTCACTGGTAATACCCGTCCCCTCAGCATAAAACCCACTTAAGAAGTCTCGCTAAGAGCTTAACAACAGGAACATATGAACTTGTGTTGTTTTTCAACACATAATGGGGAAAGTAGGCTGGGTATCCGCTTACTGTAAGTGGAATAAGGTCCATTTTCTCCAGAAACAATAGAAGTACTTGACAGGAATTATATAATTATATAACAGACCAGGTCAGCGCTGTTTACCAGCACAGCTTTATTAAGTAGAATGCACAATAACTGTACCTCATGACCAGCTACTGTGCTAACAAACAAGCATGTGAGAGGATTTAATAACACAAGCACACAACTGTAGTCTGTACTGTACTGAGACTCAGGACTGTGGAACACAAACAAGAGAAGACTGAGGGTTACCGGTACATAATGTTTGTGTTTAAGCAGCTTGACAGCTCACCCAAAATCCAAGATAAACTTTTTCCTCTAGTGATATTTATCCATTTAGAATATTTGGGTCTAAGTTGCAGTGTGTTGGAGATATCAACAGGGTGATTGTCTGCCTTCTCTCGAAAACATTTGATCGAGATGGCAGTTGTTTTGTGGTGCTCAAAAAACAAAAACAATGTATTTGAAAAACTGAAGCGCAATGCCTCTTTCCAGTTGTCATGACTCGGATACACAAGATTATCCACAGACCTTAGAGATATTCAACAGAAGGCAGACATCTCTACGGCTGATATATTGAACACGCGGCAAACACACCAAATAGTATAGATTGATAAATAGCTTGACAGAAAAGAGGAAAAATATTAATTCTTCTTTTGTTGCGTCTCATTTAATGTGTTAATACATACCGGTGGCAGAATGACCTGGCCGGTGACCTCGGGGGCCTTCATGTTGAAGGTGTCCTCTCCCAAGCTGTCCTGCTCCGCTCCACTGGGGTATGGGGGTGGGGGGTAGGGGGGGAACTCTTCCAGGAAGCCTTCTGGAGGTGGAGGGGGGAGGTTGGAAATTGCGTCCTCGGAGCCAGAGCCTGGAGGTGGTGGGAAGTGACCGTCATCTGGCCTGGGCGCTGGGTGGGATGGGGGAGGAGGGGGGATAATGTCCTCTGGTCCAAAGGCTGACGGTGCTTTGGTGTGTTCAGGGGGTCCTGGCACGGGGACATTAGCTGTAGTGATGTGAGACGGGAGCTGTCCCCCCTCCAGAGTCTCTGTCGATTGGTGGTCCGCTCCACCCAGAGAAACATGCGGCCCCGCAGATCCCTCCGCCGCCTTCTCTGCTTCACCAGCGTAGGTGGGAGTGGTCGGTGTGGTAATAGTCTCCATAGCTTTCAGGGTGGTCTTCTGGTAGAGGAGTTTCTGAATGTTGGGCCCCGCAGGACCCTCGGGTTCAGTGATGGAGCTGCGTTTCTTCAGCGGCCTGGGGGCGTTGTAGAGCTTCTTCCTCAGGGCTTCCAGGTCGCCATCGTTCTGGTTCCTGTAGGGGTTCGAAATGAAGGGAAGCAGCTTGGTGGGGCTGAGGGGCCGGGGGGTGCGCTCCGTTTCGGGTTGGGGGACCTCAGATGGACTGGGACCCACGTTGTAGGCTCCGTTGTGGTCGACCTCAGATTCAAAGGCAGGGGAGCGGCGTTCCATGTAAGGGTTCTCTGGATATAGGAGGCCTCCACTGGGGATCACTGGTTTACCGTACACTATAAACAAAGATAGGAAACAAGTGTTACACAGATACATACTAATAACTGACCCTTTGTTCTGCCCCTAAGCAAATTCAAATGTGATAATTACAAGATGCTCAGGTCAGCAATGCGCTAAGTAAACAATGCAGTGATAATGGTTAAAAAGAAAAAACGGATAGAATAATATATTCTTTCCTCTAAGATACTGCTTATTTTTCTCAATGGCTGTAGAAAAACCTGCTTGTATCAGTCTCTAAATCAGCTGCTCAAAGTTTGTATTAAATATAAATGATTGCTTAAGGGGAACATTGGTCAAAAATGTACACCAGATGGGAATATCAATTATGAATGCAGTTGAAATGTTCTGTTCATTTGAGACGTAAAGCAAAATCAGACAAACAAATCAGAGTATATTGTTTTTTTTATATAAATAAAATACTAGTTCGGTCTAAATAACTTTGGAATGGAATACTTAATTATAATGTACCTATATGTTGTATATGCATCAGTAATATTTGACATTTTCTATGCCTATTTAAGACTTTAAATGGACTTTTCGTTTAAAACTTCCCTTGCATCTCCCTTGCATTGATTACATCCTCAGAACTGACTCAGGGGAGGAGAAAAATGTGTTCCATTTCAATTCCACAACTCCAGTCAAAAGCAGCAGGTACGGTTGCCTGCTATTGCGTTTGTAAAGGGAAGATGTAACAGATGGTGTAGACGCTCTAGCTCATCCTCTGGTCAACGGTGTGTGAATATATTCCTGTTGAATATGCTAAACAGAACAGCAGCAGGGCAGAACTACTTAACAGTGAATATATCTCAAGTGACACAATATTCTATTTTTATAAACGCTTGTCTATACTCCTGAATTTAGATTTAAAGGTCCCCTAGTATACCGTTTTTCATCAATATATTATAGGTCTCAGATATATACAAAACATGTCTCTGAAGTGTTTACCTCGAAATATCAAACAGATCATGCATTATAGCGTCCTATAATCCCCTCGGTTTCAGCCCTATTTCAAAAGTGCTGATTCTCTGTCTTTTACTTTAGATGAAAATAAGGAGCCACTCCCAATGCTCCTCTTAACCCTTTCACACCAAGGCTTTTCCCGTTCTAGCTCCGTGCTAGAGCTTTTCTGGTTCAGAACCGGTTCAGCTCCCGCTCTGTTCACACCGCTCAGAGCCCGAATGGTGCTGCGTCATTGCGTCATCGTTTGCGTCATGACGTAACCGTTTGCGTGCCTGCTTCATAAAGCCAAACTGCGCGGAACCCCCCTCATATCGACAACAACAACAACAATGGCCGATTGTATTGAAGCGCTACTCGTTTTGCTCTGTCGAAACGAAATGGAAGAAATGGGACGACTTTATTACCAACTTTACAGTCGTTACATGCTACATTCAAAAGTTCTTTACAATCATCATCGACTTAAACGACGATTCCGTAGGAGAAAGAAGGTAAATATACGTCCTATTCGATGGCGTTAGAGCTAGCTGTTGTTAGCCTCTGCATGCGCCAAGCTCAAAATACGGGCGGTTACCTTGGTTGGTGATTGGCTAAAGGTTACACAAGCCAAAAAAACATTATGACATCATAAAGTGGCCAAAATCTGATCAGCTCATTTTCAGACAGGTTTTTATATAAATGGATCAGGACAAAAAGTGAGTGAATCTTTTTTTCCTGAAACTTTCAGAATCTCAACGCAGAGGGGACACATGTGGATTTGGAATAATAGGTGACCTTTAAGTCATCCCTACATTTCTACTCCAGTATTAGTCTTAAGATTGAATGCTCCATCTTCTTAAAGAGATACTCTGAGATTGATATGTAAACCTGAAGATTGACATGTGTTCATACATATACTCTTTGATTGTGTGTTTTACAGCAGAAAGACCATATTAATGTGTCACCTGAACAACAGTGTTTTTGACTAAACTCAAAAAGTTACATCTGGGTATTCTTACCACTGACAAATCCATTGGAGCGGCTCTGATTCCTGTTGAGAGAGTTCTGCACTCCACTAGGCGGGTGGAAGGGCTTGGCTGAGCCGGCCTGCTGCGTGTACATGGAGTAAATGGAGCTGGCCGCTAAAGTCTGAGGCTTGGAGGAGGGCAGCTCCGGGGTGAAGGGCCGCACGGTGGCTGCAGGTGGAGCGTCCTGCTTGGAGGGGAGGGGGAGTGTCTGGCTCTGTGAGGATGGGAGAGGGTTGCGGCCCTGGGGGGGCTGGGGCTGCTGGCTGTGGGGCTTGGCTTTGGGGAAGGTGCCTGTGTTGAGGCCTGGTTTCCCATAGGGAACGACACCAGGGCCTTTTGGTTTGGTGGGAACAGGAGGAGGCACCTTGACTGGACCTTTGGGGGCCGACTGTGGAGATGAGAGGACAGAGAGAGAATTAGATGCATGGATTTATTACTGCTAAACAAGTATTTTCTTGGATCTTTACTTAGTATTTAAGGAGTTTGTTTTCATTCATTCTCACCTTTGCGTCCCTGACCAGGTCATCACTGCTCTGGTTTTTGCGGAGGGAGGTGGCGGGAACGTCCGTTGACTCAAACATGGAGAGTGGACGCACCTTCTTGTCCCTCCTCGTTTCAGTCTCATCTATTCACACACAACATATAGAGGCAGTAATCAGTTTCACCGCATGTTCAGAGCAAGCGTGATTCTATAGAAAGGCAGAACAAAAGCCCCTTTCAAAGCTTTTGTGCTGCCTTCATTACTGTTTTCACAGTTCCAGGAAAGATTGCAGTGCACTTTCTGTGGAGGAGTTGTATGTGTGTGTGTGGTGTTTGCATGTGTGTATTGCTCTAACCTTGTTCTGTGTTGGAGTGGGAGGTCATTCGGGGCAATGTTGAAGATGAACCATGACCGTTGGTGTTGGATTCTGGACCTGAAGAGCCCCAGTCTGCCAGCTTGGATGGCTGAAGGCCTGTGGGACCAGCAGGAGAGGAGGGAAAGAAAAAGGGACAGGTGGAGAATGTGTTAATGTCATCACGTACCATAAAAAAATACTATAATTTTTTTTGGTAACCTTCTGCAGTCATAATTGTCCCACAAAAGCACAAAGCTGTGTTGTATGCAGAGTCACACAGAGCAAACAGTCATGAAACAGTCATTTTTTAAAGCACTATGCCTCCATCGTTACACATCATTTGTTGTTTTGGTTGACTGACTAATAAGACTCAGCCAGTAGCCATGCATGTCCGCAGACATCAACAGTCAAATGAGCCACAAAAGCATGGAGCACTCGCAACTAGCAAGATTAGCATCACATCAAAGACAGTCAAATCTTCATAATCATAATGATTATCCTTTGCAGTGCCCATAGTAGAAAGACACAACAAACACCAAACATATTTTGCCAACAAGATCAGATTAGGACGGTCAGGATACACACAGATTGTCAGTTCAACTGAAGGTTATGCATTTGTTCCGACTGACCCATTTAGAGCGGCGGAAAATAACTGAAGAGAACAAACAAAAACACGCTTTAACAAACAGCGGCAAAACAAGCAGAAAGGACTAATAATGTAGCTAGCCAATTATGAAAATAAATCTCAGCTAAAAAAATAAATAAATAAAAAAAAATAGAACAGAACCACACAAAGCCGTGGAGAGAAATACACGCACCACACACACAAACACGAGTGTGTACCTTTTCTCTTAGCCCGCAGCTCTTTCAGAGGCTTAAGCAAGAACATGGCTTCTGAGGAAGATGCATTCGAAAGAAAAGAAAAACAAAAGTAGCCTTAGAGCTCCATATCTCCCTTTGCTCGAGTCATGCTGTTGGCACGGCCCAGGTAGGGGGCCCCCCTGAGGGGCCAAGCAGAGATCAGAACAACCCCCAGGAGCCAGCCTGAAACTATGCACAACGTGCCTGCTAGAAGAACCGGGAATGGGTTTATACCAAGAGCAGATTCCTCTGCCTCCCCGCCCATCCCTATCTCTCCTCTTTCCATTTCCACTGCAAATCAACTCAGCATGCAGAAATTATTGCGTGCAACATCATGACAGACTGGGGGAAAAAACTGATACTTTCACCTCCTGTATGTGGAATTGCTTTAAATAGGAAAACATGGGCTGATAAAGATTTGCAAGACTGAATGAAGAAAGGGGTGGTCCCTGGTGCTGTTGTTTTGTAATGACTAATTTCTGTGTATGATCATTCATTTTTAATAACATAAAGCTGGCCCACTATCCACTGGGGGACTGGTTCAGGGCTAAGAGATCGAGTCTAGAGACAGAGCTTCTGAGAAAGAATTACTGAGAAAGAACAAAGAACATTTCTAAATGGGAAATGTTGCTCTGGTCTCTCATTGCTTTGGTCAGACTTCATTCCACTCCATTACACAGCACACATGCTACTGCAGTCTGTGGAAAGAGAGTGCAGCTTAGTCTGTACTGGCTCTAAAAGTTGACTTTAAAAAAGGATAAAAGCAGAAGAGACACACATCGTGGCAATAGGAACAATGGTTCAATAACTGGCTCACTCACTGCAAAGCATATCACAAGTTCTTCAGAAAATGTAAAAGAGGATAAAGAGTTCAAAGTTCAGGCTCAGCAAAACTCGGTCACAACACACCATCCAGGAGGTAACTAGCTACCTTCTAAGCTCAGGTCGACATCGCAACCAGCAGGTGTCCCAGAATCCACTGCTTCTACTGAAAGCAGGACGGTGTTGTCACATTTCAGTAAAACAGTTAATGGGAGTACAATCACAAAGGAACACCTAGAATAGTAGTTGAAAACACTTTTGGGATCCTAACCGTTCTTTGATCTGAAAATGTAAGCTTTTATTTGACAAGTGAGCTGTTGCAGAACTCAGCAAATGCCTCAATTATCTGAATACATTTTTACTATTGATGGCCCGGCCCCAAGTCTTGATTTGAGCCATGTTACAGAAATGAAAAGGATTGGTTTTAGAAGTAAAAGGCTGCAGACGCTGTGTGGTCTCCGGCTGCTCACCTGGGCCGGATTTGCTCTGCGGGTCGTGGGCAGGGAGGGTTGCCGTGCCGTCTGGGTAGGCTGGTTTTACGAGCAGCTCGTGCCTCACTTGGCCCCGGGGCATGGTGGACGACTGGATGTACGGGCCGACCGCCGCCACACGAGACGGACCTGACTGCTGTCCGGCTGGGCCATCTGTGGGCACCTGTACAGAGAAGAGGTGGGAGAGAAGAGAGTCTGTTAGAGAAGCAAAGATCTGAGGGAATGTTTCAAATGTGTGTGTTACGTGTGCAGGAGAGAGAGTATGGCATTGTATTTGTGCCTCAGTCCTGAGCTAGTAATGGATGTTTAGGAGAACTGGAAGATACATTTTGCAGGCATATTCATTATAGACAATCTACTCAAGAAAAGGATATTTAATTGCATCAAACTTTTATGCTCCAAAAGGAATTTCCATGTTTGCTATTAACTAAATTAATGTGCAATAGTTTCCTGTGCTCTGAATTTCCCATTGCTCACTCAGGAATGAGGTACACAAATATTGCCATAAGAGAGAAACACTATTCAGACACATAAACGTGTATAAAACATTGTTGACATTGAGATGAGTATCACAGAAATCATGCTAACATTTTATATTTTAATACATTTTCACATTTGGGCACTAATCAAAAACACTACAAGTCCATATAAGCCCTCTTAGGCTCTAATGGTTAATAAGTTACAAAAACAAGTTGTATAATATAATAATGGATGAAAATGCTGAGAAAACTGTGGCCTAAAGGTGGTGCCAGACCGGGGCCAAGTTGTTCATCAAATATGTTTTTCTGGCTAGTATGGAAGGGTTCAAAGATTTGTAAGGCAGTCATAATTTGTCCAACCCGTATCTGATGCTAGAAGAACTAGCATTAGAGTAAGACACGTGTGAGAGTTTCCGAAGGTGTATATATATATAAGTGGAAAATGAGACCTTATAATGCTGATGTTGGCCATGGTTTCATGAGGCTCATGAATAACCACATTGCCTCAAGAAAACACATGCATTACAGTTGCTGATTTATAAAAGATTTAGCTTACACAGATTTATCAAATATTTAAACCCATGATTTGACTCCGATAGTGCTTTTTATAAAAACAAGTTGCAATGGAGCATTGTGCAGTGATTTCAAAGCAGCTTGGATTGTTGTGGGATCTCCATCTTGGACAGGTGATGTCAAATCTACAGCACAACCTTTTTGAAATCCTGTAGATTCATTCCAGGCTTGAATCAAAGAACGCTTGAAGTTAAAAGAGGGTAAGTTTGTCATGAATACCACATCTTGTAAAATAAATGAAATGCACTTGTGATTTCCAAACCAAACAAACAGACTCCAAATGTCCCTTTAGACTCGGTAAAGTACTTAAACCGTGTTTTTAAAAACAGCTCATCCCCTGGACACAAATATATCCTCCTGAATTCATGATGATAAGCTGTCCCTTTGAAAACAAGATGATCAGAAAGAAAAAGGGACACATACTATAGGATCAGCTTCAATGCTAGTTTAGTTACCTGAAGATGAGTGTCTTTTGAAGCCCTCTCTTTACCAGGATAGCCATTCTTGAAAAAACAAAAGCACAAACATAAAACAGCAGTTCAAAATACCAAAGTATCCCTTTCTTCAATCTGATATTAGCCTTTTGTTAGTTCCCTGTACTATGCATCATAATACGGTGCGGGGTGTCTCTCGGCTGGCAGCTCTCAGGCTACCTCTCTTCAGTCAGAATGGTTAAACAGGGTTTTTGGGTGATGTCAGACAGACTCTTGCTGTTTGGTTGGAGGAGAGAGGCAGCTTGGATGGAGGGTCTTTGTGTCAGTGTGAAAAAGGCCCACTCATTATGATTCCAGGCAGGGTGTGGGTAAATCACCTCCTCACTGGGCCCTTTCAAGCCTTCATCTCTAAAACACACTCACACAGAGGCATGCACACACAAACACACACACACACATATTTCTCTATTCTGTTCCTACTTTATTAGATTTGTAAAGGGAACATTAAAAGACAAGTTGGGCTTCCCTAAAGTCGGATAAGGTGGCACGTTTTTACTTCATCTAGAAATCTTCCAGCAGAGCTGCGGGAGGATATACATTTACATTATAACATTTATTATTTATGTTCCAACTCATAGATCTTGTACACTGCATAAGTAAACATCGCATGCTGCAAACTCAAGAGGCAATGTTTTTGTACAGTATCTACAACACAGGGGAAATATCATTTCATAGAGGAGCTTTTTGATTTGCATTACAAAGTTATGAATCAGCATAATATATTGCAATACGGAATTTGAGGTTAATTGGTTGAATGTTAATTTGGTTGAAAGACAGAAAGTTAATGGTGACGGCCAATGAAACACCTGCATATTGTCTGAGAGGAAGTCCACCTGATCGGTAGACATAAATAAAGAAACAAAGTCAAATGACTTGTGTTTTTAAGCTGGTAAAAACATAAAATCATCCATCACTCGATCAGAATGATTATGTTTCGTATTTGCCACCCTTACATCTTCTGCTATCCCTTCACAAGCATTCAATGTCAGGCAGTGAACGTGTTAATATTCCTTCCCAACAGTCTGTTGACTCTTCTTTACAGTCCCATGGCAACATGTGTTCAAAACAACTCCTGTAAAGGGGAGAGTGGAGCAGGGAGACACCAGGCAGCGAGCTCAGAGCCAACACTTATAACGACAATAAGATCTAGTAAAGAGACTAGGTTGTTCAGCCTTTCTAGTATTTCTAGTATCTGTTACAATCAGTTTTTATTATGCAACATGTTTTTAAAAGCAAACGTTCTTGGTAAGAAGTTTGTTTGCCTTCAGTAAACTAATTATTTGTCTTTTCCTGTTTCTGTGTAGACATAGAAGATAGCATCTCCCCTGACATTCCTGCCTTTCTGATGTGTCAGCATGCACTTCTTACTCCTCTCCTCTCTTCAGAAGTTGTTTCTGCCGAATGGAACTGAAAACAGCGGGAGTGTAAACTCAGATGCGACTCTAATCAAAATGATAATCAATCCACACCAGCTATCTCAGACAAAGAGATCAAAGAGTGGAAAAAGGCGGATAGGAGTGATCTCCTTCGAGTGAGGGCATCACTAGGTTTTCCCACACAGAAGATTTGAAGTTAAGGAGCCTTACGTTGGAATGGGTGAGCTCTGAATGCCAGGGTATCTGAGGCTTCCGGAGGGAAAGAGACATACAAACAGCCTTTAATATGAGGCCACTAGGGGGAGCTCTGATCAAAATCTTTTCCATAACTTATTTGCAATATTGTGGCTTGGGGAAATTGCAAGAAAAACACATTAACAAATGTCAACACCTTATCCAGAAAGACACCTCAGGGGGTTCTGCATCAGGTCACATATGTGTATTTATGTTGTTGATGTGATACTTACAGGCAAGTTCTCTTTCTGCTGCAGCGCTGCCTTCTTCTTCCACAGCCGATCTCGGAGCTCAATGATGCGTTTGTCCATGGCAGCCACCTCCATGTTGCGCTTGTTCAGGCCGTCTCGCTGCTGCTGCAACTTAGAGTTCTGATCCTGGTTCAGCTTGTTCCTCAGCTGAAGAAGGACAAAACATGGGGACAAAAGGAAGAGATGGTTCAATGTTTGTGCTCATTAAAATAAATACTGTGTTTGGAGCCACGTGTTGTGCTGATTTATGTAATTTAGTAACTGTTGTTTCTGCACACCTGTAGCTCCTTGTACAGACGGTCGAGTTCAGCCACAGAGCTCTGGTTGTCATTGAAGTTGTCCATTTTTCCATTTTTAAGCAACTCAAGCTGTAGGCTGAGATCCTCCACCTTGGTAGCAGCCATCACTAGTTCTCTCTGCTTCTGCTGAAACAGGTTGTTCATCTGGTCGATCTCCTCCACTGGAAAGGAAGTGGAATTGAGACGAGAGAATTCAGGGACACAGAACATCATGAAATCAAAGAAATAATCTATTCAAATCAAATATTCCACGCTTCTTGTCATAATATTCTGAGCAGGCATTTATTCATAAAATCCTTTAAGTTCCTGAGGAGCTTACCCAGTTTTCCATTGCTGAGGCGCTTCTGCTCCACCTGGCCCTTGAGGGCACGGACCTTCTTGAGCCGAGTCTCCTGGTTCTCGATGTTCTCTCGGAGGCGCTGCAGCTTCTCCTGCTCAGACGCCTGCTGCTGCTGACGCTGCTCCTGCTGCTTTAAGTAGCGCAGCCGCTGCTCCTGAAGAAAGAGACAAGAGGAGAAAGGGAGAAAAGGTCAGGAACATTATTTAACAGACACAACCCTGTTAACTATCATTAATGAGTAATCAATGGCTGAGTTTCGTTCCTCAACAGGTGCTGTCAAAATGTCCTCAGGCATTGAGGTACAGATGTTATGGGCCGCTAGTAAATTGGCTGTTGTAAGAATAGCAGCCTTACAGGTTTTTTTTTTTTTAAAGTGTGTTTGATTAGATGCATGAAATACAGTAAGTTCTGTGTCTAACACAAGCAGAACATATTTGACATTTAGTTTTAAGACATAAAATACTTCATAAAGAACCCCACTAGTGAATGTCCAAAGCTTCTGTGTCTAACAAAAGGGCAATTGCTAAAAACAGTAGTCTGGCTTTAGCTTAGAGGTGGTGATGAGCACCTAAGCGAGCAATATGCAGTGAGTTTATAGCCTTACTTTAGCAAGTCACTTGAGATCAAAATCATGAAGTGGTGTTAATATGTGGAAATGATCCTGCTGATAAAAATGTGTTAAGTAAAATAAAAAGTTTGGTTTAGCACAGATCGTATTTTCTGCAATATTCCAAAATCCAGAGGCAAAATCCCATTGCTTTTTGTCAAGTGAAAATAGCTATAAGAGCCGAGAAATCTTTGTGTAAAGTGAAACAGAGTTAAAAGTTCAATCTTCAGTCTTAAACAATGAAACAGTGTGCTATGCACCTGACCCTCAAACCGGTTCTAAGATGAACAGAACACTGTCTCTACCTGGAACTATACCAGGTGACGTGTGCTGATTGTAATGTTTGTTTTCCGGATTGTGCAAGTGTTCATGACAGCTTGAAGCAGCATTCCTTGGCTTCCTATATCATCCTCAGGCAACAGTTGTTTCGATCAGAATGCTACAGACAGGTTTCAGCCTGCGGGCCATATTAAAGCATATTCTTTTTTTTAATTTAAACAAGATAGATCAATATGTCTAGATAAGCAAGGAAACATGTTCACACAATGTTTTAATATATCACGACTGTTTCGGTCATATCAATCCCCTGCCGTCACCAAAAACTCAAAAACAACAGTCCTAAGCAAGAAAGAAAGAAAGCGAGATTTTTAAATACCACAAGTCCTGCATTGTGAGAATCCCAGGCAGGCTGCAGTCTCATGCTTCTCAAATGATAAACACTACACCTGCAGCCATACACAACTCATCATACCCGTCTATCACAACCATCATGCGTGTTCTTATCTAAGCATCTTTATTTCCATGAGTGCACTCCACTTATTTTAGCACCTTTGTATTATGTTCCATCTCTCCACTTTGTCTCAATAACTTCCTCTTTCATCATGCTGTATTATTCTGTCTCCCTTGCTTTTACTTTCATCTCCACCACTTGAACCTCTTGTCCCCAGTATTCACCCATCTCTCTTCCATCTCCCCTTTCATCTTGCACTTCATCTCTATTCACCTTGGAAGCAAGGAGCTGTTGTTGAGAGTCTATTTGTTGCTGCTGCCTGGAAGCCATCTCTTGTAGCTCCGATAGTGTCATGTCCATCCGCGGTGTCACCACCTGGGAAGGGTATAAATAAAAGGGATAAAAGACAACGCATTAAAAGGGATTTGAAGATTTGCAGTACAACATTTATTTTCAAGTGACATCTTCAACTTGATTATTCAAGAAACAGTCCTGGTTATGATGCACTGATTAATGTTTCATTTGCATTTATATACTTCAGGGTGCTTTGAAGTGAATTAATGATAACCCCTCAGCAAATCATCAAGCTGGTTTGTTGTTCGGTTTAAAAAGGAACAATAAATCAGGTCATAGAATGTTTTTAAATAATAAAGTCTATGAACCGTGTGACAAGAATAAAGAAAATATATGGAAACATCTTATTCGATGTGTATGAACATTTCTTGCAAAACAAATGCATGATCCAAGGAATATATGACTATAATTCTGTATCTATATGTTCAATGAGATGCATTAAAACATGTGTTTGAATGATTTACAGTTATGTTTATTTCTTGAATAAGAAACTGTTTGTTAATTGTAAGCATGCCGTTAAATGCATTTTAACTTCTCTTAAAATAAAACATATACAAACTCACCCCGTTCTCCATGCGTCTGTCTGGGGGAGCCTTCACTCCATTCCTCTTCTGCTCTGAGCCTCTTGAGCCGCCTGAGAAACCAACAAGATGGAAGATTTCCTCAGACATCAAAATCTACTGTGGATCTTCATCGAAGTCCAAACCATGAAACGGAAAACTAAGAAAACGAATGGCCTTTGCAGACAACTGTGACAATGACTTCTTTGGCCATTCACTGTACGACTTTCTCTGGACTCGCTGCAGAAGAGTGTAGATCAGTAGACGGCTCGGCATAACAGAATAAATGATCCAAGCAATCCTGGGAAACAACTGGGATCAGTGCTCTTTGTGACTTGCAGTAATCTCAGGATTTAGCGTAATACATAACCGCCTGGCACTGGGTTCCACAACTGTGTGTATACTTGCTTATCTGTGTACATATGTGCGCTAATATCCAAACATGCTACTGGCATTTAACAGCTCAGAGTGGTGGGGGTCTGACAATCCAGATCTCAAAAGCCTTGACCCATTACCAAAGCCCTTTAGCTTGCATTAGATGACCCCTGGCATACAGTATGCATGTTAAATACTGGTTGCTGTAAATATAAAACCATGGTAAGGCTCCATAAGCAAGATTGAGTATTGAATTACTTCGCTAGCTCAATTCAGCAGAGAATAATTGTTGTTCTCTGACCTGGTGAGAGCCTGCCCCGAATCAGGAAGTGTTAACATTTAACTCCCTACTGCTACACTTTCATGAATAATATCAGCACCACAGAAACAGGACACCAAATGCACCAGTCCTTAATAAAAAAAAAGTCTTAACTGAAAAAGGTAATGCAGAACTGGGTTGCAAATAGTGAGCAGAGCTAAGCTAACAGTGTGGGAAAAACAAGAGCGGACTAAGATAACAGGAAGGGAAAACAGCCATCTAATCCCTGGGCCAGACTCAAGCTGTGAGGGGTAAAAGGACTTAGTTACGCAACTGGGGGCTGAAAGGATAGCGCACGACCAAAATACTGGCGTTTTCTCTGTTCCTAAGAAAACTGTAAAGTAACAGGCTTATGACGTTGTAGCTTGGAAACCCTGGCCTCAAACAGTACAGCTAAATAAGGCTTGTTCAATGATTTGAGGCCTGCTAATATAAAACCCTCTGTAGAGTACAAGCTGAGGTGGTCTGGTTTATTCTCAGCCACAAAAAGGCTGTTTAGGTAACTTCCTTTCATGGACCCTTAACACCAGAGTTGGTATGTGTACGTTTAGAGGCTACAGGCATCTCTGGAGTTTACTACGTTGGTGTCAAATGTATTTTCTCTGGGGATTGCCCTCTTCCCAACCATGACCCTTGTGTGAGAGGACTGAGAAACCCTTGCTCCTGCTTCATTATCTCTTGTATTTGTGGTGGGGGTAGACACTTACCAGATTCCCTGCTAGGGGCTCGATTGTGCCGCAGAAAGAAGCGCACCTCTGCCCTGTGTTGTCCCCAACGTTGGAGCACATCCAGCATCCTCTCTCCGTCACCTACAGCTCGCTCTGCAGACAGAATACATAATTACTTCAGCACTCGCGTCAGACAGAAAAAGACACACCTACAAAATCAATATTGAAACATTTTCATTATATTTCATTTGGCATGGTTGAAAACATGTGACAATAGCTTTGAATAATCTCGCTCAAACTATTTAGCAGCTGGGCTACACTGACACTTTGTTTAATTTCCTTCTGCATCTAGTTGATCTTTCTGAGTAATGACCTTGGGGGAAAACAACTGTGATGTGTGGTCAATTATTCTGGCTGGTACTGAGCCAAAGAGCTCATCATCCATTCCTCAGACATCTTCTTCAACCTGCTTAAGACCATTTCATTACACAAATGGACTGACACATTACAGTCAAGTAGAGGTCAATGAAAATGATCTATTGTGATGGCGTGCCTGCAAAACAAATCAGCGATGATTGTGATGTTTAGGTTATTTAAAGCTGTACATCTAAAATTCATCCAAATGTCATTGCTGTGTTTTCAAGGAGAGCCATGGCTGCAAAATGTGACAATCTTTTCAGACTACTTGGAAGTACTCAAACGCAATGATTGGTACTTTATTCACTCTTATGGCAGCATCACCATGGTAACAGCAATGAAGCCTGGCTCCTTGAGTTTTGATTCTGAATACCTCCTGACTCACAGATGGGGGGGGGGGGGGGGGAAAGGGGGAAGAAAAAAAAAAAAAAAAAAACCCTCCTCCCACCTGATGAGGGAGATGTCTGGGTGCTTGTGTTTGTTACGGGGATTATGGGCTCTGCTTCATTTGCATTGCAGACCCAAAAGAGATAAAACCCTTTAAAAAGAAATCAGCAAGCAGTTGACCACAAAGCTAATCTCCATATATGGTCTACTTCAGAAAAAGCAATTTCCCTCTCATTAAATGGAAGAGGACAAACAAGTGTCTGCCCACATCCATATTCCTCAGCCTGTTACTGAACATCTCCTGTTGTTCATGGTGTGTAGACGGATCAGGATAACAGTGAACTGGCACTGACACTCACCAGATCCACGCCACATCTCAGCGAGGTGGCAGTCGGCCTCCCCCGGCTCCTTGCACAACTCCACCACGTCCCGGCACAGTGTCTCCGGGGTAACGGGGACCTCAGTAAAATGCTGGTCATTGTTACTGAGGTATACTGTCAGGAACATCTGGGGACAGAGAGAGAGAGAGGCATTAGATAGAGCTAAATAACAATAAGAAGTGTGTATCTGGTCATACTATCACTTTTCAGACGGGGAATGAGTAACATTGCAGTCTTTATCCATCTGTTAAATTGTAGCATTTTGTCATTCATGCCTCGTGATTTTCCGGTTTATCAAACTGCTTTAATCAAACATGGCAGCACATTTATATTTAAAACACATATTTACTTTAAGCATTTAGTGACCATTGTGGGCAAAAGAAGCCTTGCCACCATTTGTAACAGTGATAGTACAGAGGCTTTTTCACTGATTGTTTTGTATAAAATGTTATTCAAGAGGGAATTCTGCTGCCTCTTTTAGAATATTTCACAGTGCAAAAGCATTACATGGCAAGACATCAATCTGGGACACTCATTTCATTTCTCTAAGCTCACAAGCTGTATGTAAAGAGTTCAACTGGCTATTCATTTAGTACAGTTGGCAGGAGTATATGGGAAAAGAATAGAGACTGTGGGCCAGATTTTTTATTGATTGAGATAACAGTCATTTTATGAGGCAGTGCAAGACGTTTAATATCTCTCTCTGCATGTTTCACATTGTACTGCTGCAGTCTCATTCCATGAGCATTTCAAATTAGACTTTTGCTGAGTTTCAAGTTACACAGAAATGTTACCAGGTTTAGCCTAATAGGATGTTCATACTTATTCAGAGTCCTAAGAGTCACATGTTAAATCCTCATTAGAAAAGAGGTGCATGTCTGAAAGGGGCTACAGAGAGCAGTGTGTTTCCCAGTCCCCGTTCCTCTGTGTCAACAGAGAAATCACAGGCCAGCTCCCAGAATTCCATTTCACCCAACGCCATCTAACTGCTAACTAGTGCTGTCACCACTGTGAGAGATCCCTCACTCTCAACACACACACACACACACACACACACACTTTAAATACCCCTGCCAAGCACACTCATCTCAGACAGCCCACTGAGGACTCTGGCAACGCTGGATGTGTATGTTCGTGTTAGGCTGACAGATAGTAGAGAATGGTCAAGGACTATCAAGAAATGGACTCAATGAAGATGTCATTGAAGCGGAAAGTGAAAGCCTTAAGCTACTACAGGAAAAAACACTTTGACACTGAGCAGAAAATAGAGCCGTCATAGAGTAAGCATCCCAAAGGTGGAATTCATGTCTCAATTCGAATAAAACCACAACACATTATGTATTAAAAGTAAACACATTTTTTTGAAGGATTCTCAAATCAATACTCATACAGGATATTGCCCACCTTAATAGTTATAATAATAGGTGTTGGGAGTCCAGTTTAATAAAAGAAAGAAGGCCTTTGTCAAACTAAAGCCTTGACAGTCAATTTTAAAATGGACATCTGGGAGTCAAGTCATATTCTGCCTGTGTGACACCAAATACACAAACACCGACAGTAAACAGGAAGTGGAGAACCGTGACACTGTGTAATAATATACAGATGCATGCTTAAGAGGCTTTTAGGGCAAGCTGGAATATACTCCCATCTGTAATCTGATCACACGAAAGGAGAGTGAGGGCTGTAAAAGGCTGTAATAAAACTAATATTGTGACATAACATAGGTGCCCTGGGGCATGTCACACAAACACACAAACGTATTAAACTTTGGTATTTAGCTTTAGGTTTTGACACAACACTATGTCTACACAGTGACTCCAATAGAAAAATAGCAGCCAGAGAACTAGAATTACCTGGAAAGTGTCTCATTGTTAGAATTGTATTGTGAGCTTCCTGAACATCCAGGTTGGACTGACAGGTTTTTTCTAAGCATGCTGCCGTGAACGGCTGTGCCTAAGGGGCCATGGTGGGAACATCAGGTCAGCAGGGTCACGAGTACAAAGGGGCTTGAGGGGGCGAGCATGCAGAGCAGCTGCAGCCAAAGAGCAGAAACAAAAGTATTTGAGTAGCTTTTGAACTGAAGGTTGCACTGAGCAAAAGCACAGCAGCCTTAAGATAAGTGGCTTTATCCCCCTTTTCTTCTTCAAATGAAGCTTACTGAGTGAGTGGGCAGGGGACACCTTTCCTTAGCAACATCATTGTATTGTATCACAACCGGAAAAGGTTTTTTTTCCCTGTGATGAGGTAAGGGTGCAAACAACGGGCAGCGCTCTGACTCAGAGGAGCTGAGTCAACTGGTTTGTTCCTAGGGATGCAAATTGAAGATCCCCATCAATAGAGCGAATCAGCAGTGAGTCACCCTTTTCAGTAATCTACAGTACAGAACAGAAAGCTGTAAATAGACATTGCCCTTCTGTGTTCCTCACAGGCCATACAGGACCTAACAGCTCTGTGGTGAAAGACCACCCCGGAGAATAAAGCCGAAACATTTCCTTTCCTGTCTCCTTATCAGAACCGTTTTACTGTTTGTGGAAGCTGGGAACTAAAGGGGAATCAGTAAACATAATAAATTGCACTGTCAGGGTCAGTAATTAAAATAAAACCTCAACTGGCATCAATCTCATGAAGCCTGCTTTTAGCAAAAAAAAAAAGCCTTCAGAGATGAGCGCAGAGCCGCTGACATCATCACAACTTCCCAGCAACGTAGGACATTCAAATGACCCCGTTCATATTTGGAGAGTGGAAGAGAGACAACAAAGTGAGGGGGGTGGAGGGGGGGGAGAGCGGGGCTGAAAGAGAGAGAGAGAGATGGGAGGGGGGTGGAGTCTTGGGGGTGGCAATACCTACACTGAAAGCCAATTCTCTTCAGCACTAAAGTTAATGATCCAGGTCCACCACTACCCAGGCCCAGCCTCCATCTGGATGAGTTAGCACTTTGCTGCTGACCTTCATCCACCCAATGCGTGCGGTCGCTGCTTAAAGGCTAGGACACGCACACATGTGCAACATATTCATAATTAATTAAACCAATCAGGAACATTTGCATTCATCTTGCATATTCTTATTGCTTAGTTAATGAATTCATATTTCATTATTATCATCAGCAGAACATCCACTTTGGCTTTCCATTGTTAGCAGACTAATTATACAACTTATACACATTTCTATGCAAAAACAGGTTTATTACGATATATCAAAAGTCTCCATAATGCCCTGTCCTACTGCAGGTGAATTTCCTCAAATGACCATCCTAGAGAGACAGGTAAGAAGAGTGCCCTGACCCCCCCGTTTTGGCCTGAGCCAAACAACTTGAGAGTTCATTCAACATTAATTGATACAACAGCGGGTAAAATGAAACGGTTCAATAACAACTTGATAGTACAAAACAGTGGCACAACATCTCACCAGAAATCCCCGTCTCAGGTAACCTTACACTAACAGGGCGCTGAAGTGTACCAATGTCTGACATAATTGTGCTTCACTTGCCTTCTGTCTATCAGAGAGGGTGACAGAAGCTGCTGAATTGCACTTCCTGCCTACCTGAGACAGGGCGAAGAGAGCGCCTTGGGGAAGGAGACGGAGACGAGCTGCTGCAGTTCGCTGTTATAAAAATATATTTCTAATTCGATCACAGCCTCAGCTAAGTCAAAGCTGTCTCTCAGAGTTTGGCCCTGGGACAGCTCAAAATTGCAAACTGACAATTGTATGTATTGCAAAGAGATGCGTCTGTTAACACTGCAGCCTGCACTGTAGAAACTTTCAAAGCAAAGCAGCTATAAGGCTAGGCCATTGGGGCTATATCTCAGGGATTAAGTTCATCCGCTATATCAAAATATAGCCTTTCAACAGACCACTGGCTCAGTATAACTATAGTAAGCTTAAATTCAATAGCCTGCAGCAAGGCTACATACGCTACATCTTAAGTTTAAAAGAGAATATTCTTCTGGGTAACCAACGCCCAAGAGCAGGCAGGTGTTTATATTCATTGCTCACATTTAAGTGCCTGGTTTGTGCTTTTAAATCTATCAAATGAGGTTCTGTTATGATATTGATAGAACACAAAAATACAGCCTCGAGGGTTATTTGGCACATGCTTAAGAACATCTTTTCTGGACACAGAACAGGAGTGTGTGTGAGATGAAAGGCAATGACATCAAACCCTCAGACCAAAGACATTGTAATAAGAACACATCTTTGAGAGAGGGACTGCAGCTGGCAGCACATACTTGACCTGCCCTGCTGAAAAAAGCAGAGAGCTTTGAGAGAATAAGAGACGGGGAAAAACAAAGATATCCTTTAACAGTTGTTCTGGGTTATTGCATGGAAACAGGGTCCTTTGTCAATAATTCTCTCCTGTATGAAATTAAACAAGGAGGAGTCCCTGTGGGGAGGTTCAGGACTATAATGCGGGACACTGTACACTGAAGATATCAGCTACAAAGCCTACAGCCTCTTAGTTGCTGATTTGGCTATTTACTGTGCCATTTGGATCTCATTGCTATAGAAGCAGATGCCATATATCGCACGCCTAAAAGGGAACAGGCTTTTCGAGCCTCTTAAGTTGTGTAGACAGAGGACTCTGACATGAGACTTGAGTTTAAAGATCAACACTGTAACCGTAGCCAATTACAGGGAGGAATGCTCTGCTGGTGTGGGAGAGCGGCACTCCCACTGATCGCCCAGATAACATGTGCAGCAGTGGAAAGAAGTCTTGATAGAAGGGAAAAAATGAGAATGATCTTTTGGTGACGATGCTTCTGACAGCCTATAGGAGTACATGAATCTCAGTGTCCCACCTTGAAAGTCCTCGCTCTCCTTGTGAGGGTCATTTCTGCGGCATGAGGCTGTCAAGATCATCGTCTAAATGCAATTGGTCCCATATTGAGTTAAGACTGATCCAAACTGTCTGCCACTGCAGTTTCCCATTTCCAGGAATAGACAAACAACAACGGATTGTACTGTAATGGAATTACTCTGCAATGTCAGGGTGACAGGCAAATTAAAGAGCGTCCTGTTACTGAGAATTCACATCAATACAACTACAAACACCCACAGCAATGTTGGACATAAATTCATTATCTTAAGCTTGCTGTTTAAATTAAATCCGATAACATATTCTTATTGATG